TTATGTGCGTATACACCGACACGGGCTGCACTAGGCCACGCCACACTTCTCTGCACCGGGTTATCGATGGCCCGACAAAGAGGACATAAATAACGCCTTTTGCACCGATACAACCGCGATTCTAAGTATGGGTCGCTCCGTTGGACGCGTGTGCGCCTATTCCAATCTATGTAAGTACGTGTAACGTGCCATCAAAGCACCTAGCATGCGCGCGCCGATTCGATTCCCGTATTTATTTCCCGTACACTTTTCCAATTTTTTTGATCGATCTTATCGATTTATCATTTAGATCTCCCTCTGAAATTTAATTTGACGAATGAGATTATTCTAGTAATTGGCCCAGAAAAAGAAATTTCTCGATACGATATTTACAGGTATGCAAAATCGAAGACAAAGTAGAGAAGAAAGTAAAAGAGAAATAGAGATCGTGACGAAAGTGTATATATATATATATATATATATAGGTGTGAAAGGAAGAAAGGAATAGAGAGAGAGAGAGAGAAGGAAAGAAGATGGATATACGGAGGTGGCGAACGAAGCGACAGCTGTCGATTTTCCTCCACAGACCTTGCGCAGAATGCGCGAGCAAAGTTGTAACGGGCTAGTCATAAATAACGCGCTCGTTCTCGACCACGGAACGGAGAGGGGAGGGGAGAGGGGAGAGGAAAAAAAGGATCGAGGAATAGGAAGAGAGAGAGAGAGAAAGAGAGAAAATATACGGAGACATCGTGCACGGGATAGGTTCGTGCTTGTCGAGGACGTGGCGGGATTAGTTCATTAGCTGTACGTTATACTAATCGCGTTTACGTTTTGGCTGATCGATGCGCGGCGAACGGTGGGTGATTATCCGTTTCTCCGACTAGTTTCCTAGCGGAGACACGTGAGAAATCACGACGAAACTTTGACCGAGGAAGAGGAAAAAAGAAAAAAGAAAGAAAGAAAGAAAGAAAGAAAGAAAAAAGGCGATGAAGAAGAAGCTCGTTTTATAGATCGTATTTATTCGAAAAGAAAGAGGGAACGAACGTGTGGTTTATCTTTGCGGAGGAGTGTATCGGTGTAGCGAGTTCAGTTTCCACGGAAGGGCATTAGCGGCGTTATTAGCGCTGGTTAGAGGATACGTGGTTTGGCGGAGAGTAATAATTATCCGAGCCTTCTTCCTATCCTTCTGTCTACGCGGACGACCAACAATCGCCCGACAACAGACTTTTTTCTTTCGCGATTTACAATCGCGTGGAACGTGGAAATTGCGGAACGAGGATAATAATTTTTTTTCTACCGGATTCGGTCGGTAATGGACGAAACGGGTGGGTTATTTTATCGGGTATGTCATCGAGATTATAAAAATCGATCGGGAAATCAGGTTTGAAACGACAGATCAAATTAACTCACCTAATAACGCGCAATTTCGTGATCGATACGAATTATGTAAATCAACTTGTCTGCATTGCACATGTACGTGCGGGTACAATCGGTATAATTCTGTGAATAGTAATGAAGGGAAGTAACACTCGAATTTCCATGAAACAATTGATATGCATTTCGATGCAGCACGGAACCCATCCACGTCCGTGAACATATACCAGTTCCATTACCACCTCAATCTATTTCAGCCAAATTCATTAATCGCTACAATATGCATTCGACCTGGTGTGTTACGTATGCATTTAAAACGTATTTGCGTTAAATTTATTCGGAACCAATCTTCTATATAATACATATATATATATATATGTACGTACGTTAATAATATTTTAAAAAGTTATCGCTCTTTTCTTTCTTTCTCTATTATCCCTCGAATAAAAAAATATATATCGCGAAGATCGAATTTTTATTTTACGCGTAAAGGAGCGAGGATTGAATAGAGAGAATAGATATTTAACACGCGCAATATATTCGCACGCGTTTTACAATGGTTTTTCTTTCTTTTTTTTTTTTTTTTTTTTTTTTTT